AAAAAATAGATACAGCCGAAGGGCACCGTGGGGGATGAACGATGTTTTTGGCAAGAGGTGGAAAAAGCAAGAGTATCGCAAAACTTTGGTAATTTCACGAGTCAACGTCACCACTAGCAGCGCGCACCAAAAGAGGGAGGATCTCCTGGAGGTGGCTTAATTTTTGCCGTAACACGTCTGTCGAAAAGCAGGCAAAAGGGAAACAGAACGGAAAAAGGGACGGGAAGCTGCTCGCCGAGATACGGCACGGATTTTTCTCGTCGCTGATTTTAATAACAGATTGCCACTGCTAGGAGGTTAAGGAAGAAGAGGAGGGGAAGGGGGTCGAGTCCCTGATATAGACGAGAAGGAGGAGGGGGAGTCTGAGTCACTGCCTATACGTGACCCCAAGAAGCCTTGGCTCCCTTGTCTGAAGTCTCGCACTCTTCGGTCCGACACTGGCTCTCCTGGAGAAATAAATTAAAAGGATTCTTTATTGCAGACGCGAAAGGACTGCCGGGCGACGATTTTTCTCGTTTGTTCTCCTTTCCCTCACTTTTCAAGCTTTTCATTTGGCTCACGCGGCGTATTGTAACGCGGATTGGAATTTCCAGTCGGGGATGAATAATTGCATTTGATTTCTCGATGACTCGTTGTTGAGTTAAGCTCCGACATTCGAGTGCACTGCTACTACAGCGCTGCAGCAGCCGGTGCACTCGAGTTTTCGATATTGAAAATCGACGCGTGACAACTTTGAGCTTGAACGAAACGGGCCTCGAGAGATTTTTTTTTTTTTTTTTTTTTTTTTTTAAGGTCAGAAAATTAAAAACGGAGGGATTTTTTCATTGGCCGCTCGAGTGATGCGAAGATTGGATTTCGAGAGGATCGTATTTTTGCGTAATACATTGATATTGATATCGATATTTGATATTTCATTGTAATTTCTGGACCATGTTTCAGGCGGGAGGGGTATTGTTGGATTTGAACGGTATTACGGAGCACGTGAGCTTGCGAGCTTTTGATTTTTACGTAAAATTAATGAAAATTGAAAGTTTAAGTAAAACACTAATTTTGCTGATAGCTTTCGCTTTAAGCAAAATTCGATTGAACGTGGAGTCCATTAATATTTTGAATGTTCGATCGTTGTATCGCTGGGTTGGATTACCTTTGGTCATTTGTAGAACGAAATTTTCGTAATTTACATTCAATTAATTTTAATTTTTTTTTTCAAAGGACTTTCAATAAATATTCATCATTAGAGCTCAAAATTGATTTACACTATGAAAATTTTCCAAAAAAAAAATTTTTCGTATTTTCAATATCTTACAATTTTTTATTCGATACATTGCTCTCAAATGTCATCCAAAAACATTTGCATTCAATGTCTTGGCCTGAAAAGTAAACTCTCTAAAAATCAACCGCTATTAAACCCTTTTTTTGGACAATGAAAAATTATTTTCATCGCAAATGAGACAATGCCGAGGCACGATACAACAAGATATATTGTTTGCGAATTTCTACCTTCGAATGTTATTTATTGTCGTAAAATGTCATATTTTCACTATTATGTATGTGTATGCACCTTGGACAGTAAGTAAACTACCGTAATTTCATTGGCCACACATACACACGCACATGCAGCCCGACCGTTCGGAAAACGGATGTAATCTGTCGGCACAAGTTTAATTAATCTCCACGTGCATTTACACGCTCGTGGCTATTGGTTTTAAAAACACATCGAAAATGCCGTTGTCGTCGGTCGTCAGCGTAAAACGCTTATGTATATATACATGTATACGTGCTAAGTCGCGTTTGTTTAATTTTTCATCGAATTAATTCCTTTGGAATGGCGCTTTATTTCGTACATCTCGTGCGCGTGTGTCCCCCGTCGATCGTTTTTCGCTTCAATTTATTTTCACTTCACGGCTCTGATTGAAAATTTCCGAATCTCTCCACCTGTCTCCTGCCTATCCACGAAATTGAATTAACCGAGAAAAGTTTTGTTGTTGTGTTATCCGCTTACCCGCGATTTGGGGTCTGCTGACCGGAAAAAAACACAGCGGCAAACAATCGCTCTTGATACTTTACGCTGCTTGAACATTTTTTTTTTCATCCCTGAAAAAGCAAAGTCAGGAAGTTTGGGAAACGAGTTGTGTCACTTGACGCTTTTTTTTACAATTTGTTGCTATTGTTTTTTTTTTTGTTTTGCTACACAACAGCTTGGACTTTAGCCACTTGGAAGATGAAATTTTATTTCACAATTCACCAAAATTCTCCTTAATACGAATACAATGCTTTGCAGAAGCCACGCGCGTGTATGTGTTTATACTGTACCTCAAATGCACGCATAACTTGATAACCAAGCAAGTCCAATGTTTCGATGAATTCGCACTGTATGGTGACTCCACGAAATATTATCGGAACGTCAAACTTGCTCGGAACGGAGTCATGTATGGATATGTGGATGGGGTATAATTATACACACGGTCACGTAAGGTATATGATGTACGTAATATATAGAAGTAAATGTGGCAGATCGAATTCGAGTGAGAATGTGACTAACATTAATCACGGAAAATTGTTTAATAAAAAAAATGCTCTTAGCTCATTATATGACACGAGTTCAATCATTATGTGTAAATTATTTGAAACCTCAAGTCATAAGAGAGTATACAAATACGTGATTTTTTGGAATAGTCGACTGTTGAGAATAACTTTATGAATTAATTTGACGATACCATTTACAGAAATGCCAGTTTATGCACATTTACAAATGATTTAAATTGATTTCTCTGTAAAAGTCGAAACGATTTCATTGACTCACGCCCCAGATACAAAAAGTTACCTCCAACGTGCAGTAATTATTCTTCTGCCGTACAGTTTTGCCACGCTATTGTCGCTCGCCAGATGACACACATAGGATGTAATTGTCGGTAAAAAATAAACCTTTCCTAATTCGTAATCATTGCTAAGTGCCAACACTGAAAAATAAGCTTCAAAATGAGCATCCACAAGGATAGTGATTAAAAACGAAGCTAAAACGAGAAAAAGGAGAAGCAGCGAAATAATTAAACAAGACAGAAGAAAAAAAGGAGCGTCAAGCCTATGGGAGCTTTCGATGCTCGCGAGAGATAACCACACGAAGGGAAGAGCGGGCAATTGAAAAAAAAGTGGGCTAGCGCGCTTTGTCCCCGTCCTCGTAAAACAGCGAGTAGGTGACAATACGGCCGGGGGGGTTGACTGGCAGTGAAAACGGTAATGGTGCGTTACAGTTGGCTCGGGCTTACTTTTATGTCTCCAGCGGCTTTTCCACTTTCGCCACCCTCGCCATCAGCTATCCGTCTCTCGGCCCTCTCGCTCTTTCGCCTCCACGAGAGACCGTTCTGGTACATAAAAGCTTGGCCTCGAGTGTGCGCCCGTGTGGAGGGGCGACACTTGGCACGGGACGCTCCGTGTGGGGCTGGAAGAGCAGGAAGCTTATACCACCAGTGAAATAGACAATGAGTGTCCCGGATGGTTTTTGTCTTTCCTCCGTCATTCTTTGTCGGAGGTGGAGCGCGCACAAGCGGGAATCATCGTGACGCCGGCTGGTGTTTTTGTGGCCCGTTAAACCACGTGTGTACACGTGTTTCCTCGATTCCTCGCTCGAACTATTATGTCCGTGGATACTTTCACGGGCTCGAGTGTTTGCCTCTTTTTTTATGTCCTTCTAATTGGGACACGCTATATTTTTTCATATCACAAGTATGGGTAATAGTTTGATAACTTGTGGTAAAATGATGGTTCATCAAAGAAAAAGCAAAAATTGAAATGAAACTAGTTAGAGTAGTTCATTATATTTTTATGGAATTGCACTACGTATGTTTGGAACTCTTCATTGATGGGTAACAACCATCAATTGTAATTGTAGTAGAATAAGTTAAAAAATAGTAATCCAATCTGAAAATTTTTTAGAAGAAAATGTAGGCTCAAAAAACCTCGAATTAAACTTCTCGTCAATGCACGCAGCCCTTTAAGGTTCGAGATAGTTGTGAGATGTAGAAATAAGGTTTTTTTTAATGTCTCCCATGTAAACTTTTATATTGGTAGTCCAAGGATTATGGTCAAGGGATCCATTTAAAAATCATAGGAGAGGTGGAGTAATATAAAAAGAATAACGATGGATTTTCTCGTTTTCCTAAAAAGTTTCCTCTGATGCTCCAAACTTTCTGGCGATAGAGTTTGAAATACGGTTTTAGAATTTTGTGGTTGAAAAAAAAAAAAAAAAAAAAAAGGTCAGATGAGGTAGAGCACAGTCATGCCACAGCTTGAAAAAGTTGTGAGGGTCGAGGTGAAAAACGATGATTTTTTCATAATCGTAAAAGTTTGTAAAGTTTACAAATTCCCCGTAATGATGGATTGGATGATACCATTTGGAAAATTTTGAGGTATGAAAAATCGCTTTGCATAAAGTAGCAAGTTGTATACCCTGCCTCTGTAAAATCCACGGGTCAATAAAGTGATTAATCCTTAATTTATACTACTAAAATTTGGTACACATATAGTATAATTGTATTAGAAAACAATAAGCTTAGGACATGTATAATATATTATTGTGGTAGCGAATCTATACACAAACGAATCAACAAACGGGTCGCAAGAGTCTATTGTAAGGAAGTAATGACGGAAGAGTTTAACCCTTTATCCGCACACTTCTCCGTCCCTCCTCTCTTTTTCTCTCTTACCACTTGGAAGCCAAGCCCTCAAGAAGTACTTGGGAAGCCCGTCTCCAATGCCTCGGGGAATATTTGCCGAGAAAGCAAGAAAGAGGTACCAGCAGAGCACGAGGAAGGTAAGGAGGGCGGGGGTATCAAAGCTATCCAGGGGTTTATTTTGCGGAGGAGGATAATCTCGCCAAGGAGCTTCATTCACGCGGTGAGTGTACATACACGTACATCTATACGCGTAGAGAGGTTGGCGGTAAATGATCAACAAGAAGTGGCCTTAGGTTTGTATGTGTGTGTGGGTGTGTGTATACTTACAGTCTACGGACACCTTGATCTGCTTGCTAACCGATGGTGGCACGCCGTTGCTTGCGATGCAGAGGTAATTGCCCATGTCCAGCCTCGAGATCTTCGTCATCTCGAGGGTACTTCCAACCCACTCGCTTACTGTAATAAAGATGATGAGCAATTCGTTTGAAAAAGACAATTAACATTCTTTGGCAATAAATGTCTTGGTAGAATTGTTGATACTAATGTTTTTCTATGTAACGTTTATTCTTCGGTTTATCGAATGATGAATGATATTCTCATTTTAACGTGTACGTTTCGACTAAATAATTATGATACCTACTGTATTCATTAGTTCATTGATGAAAAAAAAGACAAAGCCATTAAGCAGTAGGAATATACATTTAACTATGACAGGTTAATATCAAGTATAATTACTGAAAGCCAGGGATCACGTAAGAAAAAAAAAAAAAAAAAAAAACTCACCAGAGTACGTCCTGTTGATGGAGATCTTATTGTTGTCGTCCCTTTTCCAACGAATGCTGGGTGGTGGGCTGCCAGAAGCCTTGCAAATAAGTGTCACGTTGGCGTTTTCCCTGACTATCACGTCTGACGAGCTCAGCGAGTCGTCAATATTAGGCGGCACTGTAACACACAAACAAAGGGGTTGGGAAAATAAGTACCACCTGTCATCAAAGTGAGCCTGATTAACGACCGTCTTTATTGTTTTGGTCGCCCAAGAGGTAGTCTCGTTTGTTTATGAACCTTCAAAATTACTAATCGTTGTGTACACGTCGATTGTCATTGGAATACGAGATAGGTGTAATTACACAATTGTGAAATATTGACGATGGTTGTTTAAGCTAAAGATATTTTAACACCAGCGATCAGTGAAAAAATGTACAAGCATTTGCGACCTAGTGAGATTATTTTAGGTTTCTTACTGTTTCTGTACAAATAAACGATTTTGCGATGTTTGTTAAATAAAATAGTTACATTTTGTTCATTAAATTACTTTTTTTTATTGTATCTAACAAGATTTTTTTATGTTCAAGGTTTGTATTATACAAGTATAATTATACTCACAAGCTCTCAGTAAGGATATAAATTAATGCAACATGTCCTTGGCACGTAAAAAATTTTTTTAATTTACTAACTTTACGGTAGGATACAGATTTTTATTTATTATAAACAGCGCTTCAAACCTTTTTTGAGTTATTGCACATCTTATTGTTACAATGGATATCATTAAATATCATTTTGTTATTATTATTATTTCAACTGTTGCATTTTAAGAATTAGTTTTGGCGTTACTAGATTGGTCATATGCAGACATAAAAGGAGGGTGGTGTGTAGATTATAAACTTACAACAATAGCGTTATCTTGTGAGAAGTTTGATCTATAAAACGTCCCTTGTAATTAGTTAACAATTAATGTTGGCTCACTCCGTATAATTTCGTGTACTCCCTTTATTTATTTTTATAATTAGTATCCTTGCAGTACAAAGACTCCACGTCCCGAGATACCAGATTTCACTACTAAATCGTTTGGTAGTCCGGTATACTCTATGCGTGTAGTAATTGCCCAAGGCAGTGTAACGACAGATCAGGTGTATCAAAGTCTTCTCAGTATTCTTAAATAACAAGAAGTTACTGTGATTATATATGCCTAAAATCCAAGTATAATGCCCTGCCACGCAATAGTCTACGTCAAATGACGCCTACCTGACTTGACTTTTTTTGGCTCAGAGGAGTCTTCGATTCCAATCTGTGAGCCAGAATCTGGAAGGATCATACATCAGTTAATAACAAAATAAACAATCACCGCTCGAAAAACCTGTATTATTACTTTTTTTATACCTGATTTAGTTATTATTAATACGTTGTACTCGTTATTGATAGTCTGTCTACAAATGGTAACCTAATGATTTTAAAAATAAAAGGAATTGTCTCAGACGACGAAACCAGGTAGAAAGCTGGCAAGAGGACAAAGAAGGCGTGTCTAGTAACGAAAAAAAAAAAAAAAAAAAAAAAAAAAAAAAAAAAAAAAAAAAAAAAAAAAAAANAAAAAAAAAAAAAAAAAAAAAAAAAAAAAAAAAAAAAAAAAAAAAAAAAAAAAAAAAGAAATCAGATGTAAAGGAAAAGAGAGGGATCGAGGGGGAAGAAGAGCGGCAGGGTGGAACGGTTGGAGCGCGGCAGTCGGGGGAGTCAAGTAGAAAGACGAGCACGCATGTCATTATATGTATATCCAGGCTCGTATTCCATAGGGAAGGACTATGATGGAATTTGCATCAGAAAGTGCGATGCTGTAGCAAAAAAAAATGAAAAGAAGAATATGTGATGCTCACACCTTCGCATCTATTTTTACTCGTGTGTATGAGCGTGTGCAGCTTGGTAATGGCAGTAGGAAGGAGAAACGCGCTCTGCCTCTGGATACGATTTCTTCTTGTTTTCCAACCAGGCTTGCTACCTCAATTTTGCATTGATACATGACTGAAAAATGCTATGTCCACAATTGCGTTAAATCAAGGATGTAAGAAATTAACATGATTTTGAATGTATAAACAGTTGGCTATTGAATCATAAACGATAACAGTGCTCAAAGTGTGCCTCTGAAGAAATACAACAATTATTATTACAATAACTCCAATCACTGATTTTTACGAACCCCCAGTGATGAGGGAATTCGAGGATGCAAAAGGGATAGGTCAATGCACTTGAAAAACTGTAAAGAGTATTTTTCAAACATTTAGGTACGTATGGATGATTGATAAAGAATTTGCTAATACAATGAATCCATCACTTGCTCTATATGTCAGCTCGATTCCGTAAAAGAAGGTGGCTGGATGGCGCGAGTACTCTAAATTGACGTTTGAAATGATTATAAAAAGCAACGTTGATTAACGGACAATGAGTCGATCCATCAGAAATGAGTCTAATGCGGCAGTCGATCAATTACCACTCGTTCTAAAAATACGATCCGCCGTTGTCCACTCCGAGTGGACTTTTTTTTCGTCCCCCGAATCAAGTGAGCCTTCAACATCCTGAATAAGCAATCTTAATGGGAGAACCTATCGTTTGGTCGGCTGATTATAATGTCCCACGTTCGCCCGCCACACGCTAAATCTACGGTGGGTGGATGAAAAGGCTCGCGAGAGCAGAGAAATTCAACCAAAATCCACTTATCGATACGCGTCGTGTGTATAATTATATACCCTTTGAATTAGGGAGTACGTCGGGCAGGGGATTACGCTCGTACGAGAGAGAGAGAACCAGTTGGACGACTGACAGGTGTCGGGTCGATCTCTTTCTCTCATTTCTCTCGTAATACGTCCACGTCCGTCTCTCGGAACGAAGACTAGGCCGGGAAAAAAAGGCGAGCAGGCGAAAAAATTATTTGCCGCTCAGTGGACATTGACGCACGCGCGGGCTGACGCTTGTACACATTCGCTCCCGAGCTTTTTTTTTGTCATTCCCTCCCTCTGTCTCCGTTCGTGCTTTGTTTTGTTTTATTTATCTTTTCGGCGAAGGGTATTTTGCGCTTGATGAAACGGATTCCCATTCATAAACACCTGACAGACGTGTGCGTGTGAGCTTGCACGGGAAATCGGGGGACATTTCGGACGAGCTTTTTCCACCCTATCTCGTTGTATTTTTCGATTTCGGTGCCGAAGCTTTTTCTCCTCGCACTTTGGCTCTGGGTTTTTTTTTTCAAGGTGACATAATTGACAATCGCTCGGATGGAAAAGAGATTCGTGACTTTGATTCATTCCGTCGCAAAAATAAGATACGAGCTTTTTAATTTTCAACCATATACGATCGATAGCTTCAAAGGGGTTTCAAAAACTTTATGGTTATTTTTAATAAACAGTAACTTAAATTATTATTCCATTTAAACGAAGGGCAAACACAATTGTCTGGATTTTTTGCGTCCAACTCTTGGCTGTTACATAAAATATTTTGGTATAGTGATAAATCGATGAATAAAACCACCAAACTCGAGATACCGCAGAGAATAAAGTATAATTTTTATCCAGCTTGAAAAGACCAAGCATAATTCCACCCAAGAGCAAACAATCGCTTGTCCACTTTTCCTCTTTCTTGAATAAAAAAAAAAAAAAAAAAAAAAAAAGAACCATTCAAACACTTAACACACGCACACACCCCTTCTCACATAAAAATAAAAGGGGTAAGCATGCCTAACGCCACTCATTGTCACATGTAACATGCACGAGTCCGTGTATAACTATAACGATAGCAAAGCGACGAAGAAATCGCCCGCTTCCAGCGAGTCGAGCATCGCGTGAGTTATCGCAGTGCAAACGCAAAGAAAGAGATGCACACACACATACAGGGGCAGAGTTTAGCGATCGCGGAGTCAAGGCGTCTGTTTAACCCCCCCTGCATGTGTGTATCCAAGCGTCACGTGTGTGCAAACAAACAAGAAAGGAGAGCTAACGTCAACTCGTTGCCCACCCGTGCGTCTGCTAATATCGCAGCGTGGAAAACGAGAGCTACTTCAGAACGTGCCTCGGCTCCCTTTTCTCTTCTTCTTCTTCTTCCCTGGCCCACGTTCGCGCAACGGCTGTACCGTCGAGTGTAATATTCCAACCGCCGCGAGGATGCGGTGAAAGGAAGAAGCAGCGAAAGCTCCTTACCCGCGTAGGCCGGCAACTAATAAGTCAAGATTAATTCATACACCGTTTGTTATTCCTTTTCGCCGAAGCCCCTTCCTTTCCTCCTTTTACCTCCGCTGGCACGAAAATCTGTAGTGGGGGAGCTCTTCGCCTCGAAGCAATTTTAGGTGAAATTAAACTCGAAACCCCCTTTTTTTCCCTACCCCGTGCCTTATGGATTTATTTTGGTGGCTCTTCAAGTCTTGCTGTACAGCTCGCTGGGTGCTTGGGGAAGGATAATTAAAAAATTACGTTTCCAGGACGATAGCTTGTGACACGATTTTCGGGGCAACGGAAAATAACCGTTGAAACTAACGACTTCGTTGATGAGGTTCGTTGAAAGTTTTCACACGTTTACGTATCTGTTTCGTGACTGCATGACACATGGTTGGTTGGAGAGCACTTTTTGAAGCACCAAAGAGTCGAAACGCTGTTGCATTTACAAGAGGAATGGAAAAAAAAAAATATCACGTTTCTTCCTCAAAGGGCGTAAGCAAGGGTATCCGATTTTCATTAAAATCTTCCACTGCCATCAACCCACTCATCCGATGCCCTCACGACTGACATTTATAATTTCAAATGACACATTTTCCTCTTGACTTTCGCTCGTTAAAATGGCAAAAACAGTGATATTCCAGTTTCGAAACAAAATCCCACCAACGTGTCTCTTTTCAGTTACGTCTCAATGCTGCAGCGACACGGTGTAACTCGAGAGCTCGGCGGAACTACTAGCTTTCCAAGACCAGCCAAATACCATCTGCCTTGCATAGCAAATCCCGGCAACAGCAGCCGAGTCAAAGACACAACACGAGTTGCGAAAAGATTCGTCCGTCTTTTCGTGTGGCAACACCCGAGACCATAGGAGAGGGGGAACAACCCACTTGGGGGGATGTGGTAGAGAGAAACAGAAAGCTAGAGAGAGAGAGAGAGAGAGAGAGTCGTCCTATGAATTACCACAGGTGTTAGCCG